CTGTGCTTTTTATGAATTTAGGATAAATTAATCTTTTTTAAAATAATATATTGTCAGTTAAAGAAAAGTAAATATCTAATAACTTTCTAATTTTTGACATTTCAGAAAGACACATTTTAAAGTAAACATGCTATGGGCATAAAGCTTTACATAACACCATGGAAAATATTTGTCCTGGGTTAGAAATTGTCCACCCTACTATAAGTCTGAATCAAATACCGTGTTTCATGTCTTCATTGGTTTTGTTTTATGAAAAATTGAGATAGATGCCTATATTTTTGTCTGCAAATAGAAGAATTGTCTTTATCACCACATATTTCAGAAAGATAACAAATTTTTCAATTACAAAAATGGTACAGAAAGTATACCATTCATTACACATTTAAATTTGTAAACATTATTCTTTTTAATTAAGGTTTAACTTTTACAAATTCTAAACTAAGTTGACTTGTCCATTTTAATATTCTAATGCTCTCTTGACTACAGATAGTTATATGTTCTCCTGCCATCTCACAGGTTTCGGATAAAATTTAAATGTTATCATGACTAAAAAGGCATTTTCTGAACCACTGAACACAAGATGATATCATCATATGTCAAGCATGCATTGTGTAACTTAGCTCTTCCATCCCACATGTCTTTTTTTCATAATGTTTAGACAGGAATCTCCCATTAATACCTTCCTAATGAGATAATGTCTATAAAATATTTTGAGGTCATCAGGAAGTGAAAGATGATTATTGTTAAGTCAGAATGTAAAGATCAACAGTTTATTATCACTTGATGTTGATGTTATTCTGGAAATGTGTATGTGGAAAACATGTTTTGCAATTTAGCAGTTGGCTCATCTTGTCTAGAATTATAGATTTTTTTAATGGCTTTAGATGAGAAGATAAGAAATAGACATATGTTTCATGATGTGATCTTATATCTGGATCAATATTTGATTATTTTTAATCTCTGAAACTTATATTAGGCAACAGTTATAAAGTCTTTAGACCCACCCATTATGTTTAAGACTGGGAGTGATTACTTGATGTGAACAGAAAGTTTTTTTAGCAAGCAGTCAGGGGACTGTTTTCAAGCTTACTCTGCCAATTGTTTTCTTCTTCTGAGATAAAATTGTCTCATGGACAGTAATTTAATTCTTCATGGTATAAAGTAGACTAAATAGCTGAGTTTCCCAATACTCCTACCAAAATCATAATGACATTCTTGCAGGGTTTATAAATAACACAGTCATCCAGCCACACCTCAGCAATGACCTCACAGGCCATTTCGACATTTTCCACCTGCCTGATTATGTGATATCACTTCTCCTTTTCTTCTTTCCCCATTCTCACCTCATTGACAATTTTGAGGGTCCAACCTGCAGGCTTTGTCATTTCCTTTCTTCCCATACACAATGCAGAGTATGTTCACCGGGACAGAATAATAAATCTACCAATGACTGAGCTCTCCTGATGTTCCAGGTATTGTTGTAAATACATATCCTTCCCAAGTTTAAACCTAAGGGGGCTAAAGGATAACTGTTGGCTACTAAGAGTTTCAGAGGTTAAAAATAATCAAGTATTGATTCAAAGATAGATGATCACATCAAAAAGTACATGTCATTAATTCTCAACACAATCAAAAGCAACAGTTACCATTATTCCCACTAATCAATAGGGACATTGAGAAGAGGAAGTTTAGTAATTAAGAGGAACAGAATTTGAAATCTAGCAGGCCTGGCTGCCAATTCCCTGCTCCTTGTCCTTACGCTAACTCATTGCTCACTCTTTAAAATGGCAAAACCCAGTGATTAACAATCCTGATTTATGGGGTATCTGTGAACATAAACAAGGACATGAACCCCATGCCAACTTTGAATTAGATGTGGAGTTTCAGAAAAGTATCCTAGCTTAATATTTCACATATTGCTTGGATTATTAAGATTTTTGAGGATGAAGATGACGACAAGCTTGCTGGCTGTAGGATTTCTGGGTTAAATCCACGTGGCTCAGCCATGACGGGATGCTCTAAGGGCCTCTGCTGTCCTGGGTGGGTTGAGGGCTTCATTTGGGCTCTAATGTATGTGCTGTTCTAAATGAAATCAGAGTCTCAGATGCAGAAAGTGAACCAAAACCAGACTTTTGAAGCTATTGATGTCTATGTTTGAATTCTTGCTGGCTAAAGGATGTTTCCCTAGGGAACCAAAAATAAGTGGAAAAAGAACGTCTGGATGCAATAGAATTGTCACTATTAATTGTTTGTGTATGTTAGAGGAATTGATACTGAAAACATATGAAATATCTTTAAAACTTATTGGTGCTGCCTAACAGCTAGAAGCAACCTGGCTGTGTGGTCTTCTTGCAGAGTTTGGATAAAGAATATTGGAAAATTTCACAAAATTAGGAGCCCCTCCTTCCATCCCTTACATCAGATACAGCCCCAGGAGTCAGGAATGAATGGGCCTGACAGATCCACCTTGGAGACTTCTTTATCAGCAGAGCAAGGGACAGACAGAGGTTTAGTTAGCATCACCTAGCATCAGCTAGGAGGGCCTCAAGCTGTCCTTATTAAGACTCTTCAGTCTTAAAGCCTGTGCCCCAGGCTGGAGGGTGCTGTTGGATTTTGCTCAAGGGCATGAAGGTTTGAATTTGAATATTCTTGGCCAGTCCTCAGTGCTACCGCTTGCAGGAAGTTTGGTTGTCAGGCCTGTGCAGAGAGGCCCAGCTCCTCCTGATGCTGTCAGGCCATGCCACAGCTTATTCCAGAACTAGGAATGGCTTCGTCTGGGGGAGGAAATGACTCTGGGAAGGGGCTTCTAGTATCCAAAGCGGATGTGCCTTGAAGGTCTGTTTCACCCTGGAAATAGGGCGACAGCTTTATTTTTCATTTTAGAACTGAAACCTTTGTTCACTTCCTAGTCAGTCTTTTGCAGCAAAGTCCAAAGACCTCAATTGCTTACAGAATAATATTCTGCTGTTTGAAATGACAGTATTATGTTGTATTTCTTGACTTCCCAGTTTTAACTAATGGTTAAATTCCCAGTTAAGAAATGCTGCTATGGTATCTTTTTTTTTCTCTTCTATTTCTTTCCATTGGAAACCTCCCAAAATATTTTCATATGCGTGAATTTCATGTCTCTTCTTCCTCCTTTTTCTCAAAATGACTACATCCAACCCACCTGCTTTTCATTACAACTTTGGCCTGGCTGCTGACCCTGATCCAGGTCCAAGCTTGTGAAGTGCTGCCCCATGAGCTGCATGCAATGTCCAGACACAATCTTTAAAGCTCCTGCTGTGCAGCAGAGAAGCTGTGCTAAGCATGACTGTAACTGGGGCTGCCTACACCACAGCCCTCAGTGGCTCCTGCTTTTTCTGTTGATTGGTAATTTTCTCCATGAAAAGCACTGAGTCACACTGTTGTGGTTTGCAGGGACGGCAATGGGAAATCAGAAAACCCACAGGCATTTTCTCACATATCTCTTAATGCCCTGATATTTCTGGATGTTACATGGCAGCAAACAAATATTTCCTAACAATTTTTTTGGAGAAAGGTGCACCATAAACGATGAAGATGATGCATCCAAGGGGATGAGCCAGATACTTCAAATATTGGGGTGGAAATTCAGAAAATCTATTCACTTAATTTCAGCACTGTGGGGCAGAAGCTTGCTTTGAGCAGATACACAACTTTCATCCTAGACTTGAACAGTGATTGATAGCAGAGACCTCAGTGAAGTTCTAGAGTTCAATTTAGATAGATACAAGCAATGCGGAAGCTAGCTTTCAGTCTTCTCCAAACTGCCCTGGCTTACAGACCCTTGTGTTCCAAATCATCTCTGCGATTGCAAACAGTTATGACTGATCATGTCAGGAGAAAATCACTGCTGTCTGAAGCAATTGCATTAATAAAAGGACAATCCAGGGCTTTGGCTTGGAGTCAGGATAGCTAACAAGTAGCCACACTCACCAACACCATCCCAACACACACACACACACACACACACACACACACACACACCCCTACCACCCTCTCTTCCCCAGCCTCCTCCTGTCTGACTGTTCTGCTATCTCCCTTCCCATCTTTATTTTACTTCTACATTTCTGATATCTACAATCTTTAACTTGGGCAAAGGGAAACTGTTGTGTTTTGGAGCAATATATCTGCTAGGAAAAGTAATAAAGTAGTAATCTCATCACAAACTCCTAGTAATCAATTGAAAAAATGCATTGTAGACACTTACTTCTTGCAACTGGAATAAAAGAGTTGACTTGATTTTTAACACAGCTAAGACTTCATAAAAGAAACAGCTATATAATGACAGAAAGAACCTTGTCAGACTAGCAAATGCTTTTCATATCACTAATGGGCTGATTCTTCTAGGGACTCTCCATGTAAATTGAGAATTTGGAGAATGTGGCTGTGTATATGTCCTAGGCGAAAATATTGGAGTATGCAGGACAAACTTTCCTTTCAATGTAGCAATTTAATGTTTATGATTGATCCTCACAACAGGTGTCATTATCCATATTTTACAGATGAGGAAATTGAGGCTTGACTTTAATAAGTAAGTTGCATAAGGTCACACAATTAGTACAGAAATGAACCTGGAACTCAAATCTAGGCTTCTATGACTTCCAAACTTATTTTCTCCCCCAAATAAAATAATACTCTATAAAAATGATGAAAAGCAAACCGATGGCTGGTTGCCTTTCTTCAGAGTATATTGATCATTTCTGTTACTTAGTTTTGCAGAGTATAGTTCAAGTGCATGCATAGTTGCCAAGGTCCCCAGTATTCATAATTTCATCAGAGGCCTCCCAAAATACAATATTACAGAAAACCACCGGCATTATTTTGAGAAGAATGGCTAAATTGAGTAAGAGGAATAGAGAGCCATTTCTAGATAGTTTAGTGCTACTGATAAATTTACTTCATTATAGAATCATGCTCTTCTTAATACACAGCCAAAATGAAAGAACAGTGAAGTATTCCTCCATGATAGTGCTTACCTCTCCCTTTCATGTTCCACTTCAGTAATAAAAATATGAAAATCCGTTTGTTGAGTCATCCAGCCCATAAGGGTTTCAACCTGTTGAAAAGAATAGAGCTGAGGATGATGGCACTTAAATATCTAGCTATATGCATCCAACTCCCTTTGTTCCATGCTTCTGGTTAATGCCAGAAATAGTAGTCTAATATTATGGAAATAAGCAGTAAATCTAATTATTAGATGATATACATTGAAATGAAATGGAAACAGAGAGATTATAATTTAATTTCTCATTTTGTCTTTTGTGCCTTCATTCCTTGTCTGCTTCATTGGTTCTGTCTTGGAAAATATATCTTGGCCTATCCTTTAGATTTTTTAGGTGTAGCCTGGGTGTTTATAAGAGAGAGAGTTGGAAAAAAAGATCATTCAATGTGATAGTTTAAGTGTCTTCAATTCTAAAGTATATTGTGATGACTTCTGCTGCTTTTTTTGTGTTCAACATGGAGTCATGGAACTTATTAAGAAGAAATACATTTTAATATGTTCCATTAAACAATGGAATGAATTCCAGAAGAATCAAATAAATAGATTGGCTAGATTACAGAGGGGGTGGTTTCCATATGAGTTTTAAACTTTTTAAAAATGAGAAGTTATCAGGCAAAAATGTTTTTAAATTTATTTGAAAGTAAGTAAAGGATATATGTACCCATATATCACTTAGATACAGAAAAACTGAGTGAGGACATTTTCAATAAAATCATGGTTTCCTTACATAATGATAACATTTTTTTTTTATAGAGGCATGTTTTATTTATTTATTTGTTTGTTTTGTTTATACATGCACTGGGTACAGTCAGAAGCGCAGGAGGGCGAGAGAATTCACCAGAGCCAGAGCAGGGAGCAGAACAGGCAGAAGGACCGAAGTACACTGCTGAGGGGAGCAGCGGGCGGCAGGAGAGGTCTCTGCGCCATGCGGGACCCTCCTCCGGTGGCCGGGGAGCAGCCGGGGATCGAACCGGCACTGCAGAGGCCGCGGGCAGCTTCGCAACCCAGTGCTCAACCGCTGCTCCACCGGGGAGGCCCCATAATGATAACATTTTAATAAGATGTCAGAAAGGTTTAGTGGGCAAATAAATTTGTCCTTTCTGAATTCTTTATTTTTAAGAGGTGAGTTAGTGTGTGTTTGTGTGTGTGTGTATGTGTATGTGTGTGTATCTGTGTCTGTGTCTGTGTTTAGTTACTAGGAGTGAGTTTTTTAATTGAGAAATCAAATATTAGAAGTTACTCTAAGGCTATACATTTCCTAATGGAAGAATAATTTGTATGTTAATATAATTTTTTAAGATTAAGGAACAAAATGAAATTTTCCAAGCTCTGGTACTTAGATCCTAAAAGTGGGTGGATATTTTTCTTTACATTATTTTACAGGCATCCTGGCAACCATTGGAAAAAAAATGTGTTTTAGTCAACTGGCCTTCTGACCATTTTCATATTCCAATATACCCAAATACCTGACCTCCAAATAGGGGAAAACTAACTGATTCAGCATCTATTTTATAATTTGCACTATCCAATGTCCTACTTCAAGTGGAAATAGATTCATATAATCTATGTAGATCCATATAATCAAGCAATGTGCACTGACTGGACAACAGCAATAGAAGCATAACATCTCCAATGGGAGGATGGAAAATCCTTTATTTAGCAAAGGTCTAACTGCATAGGAATACTGTGTTCTATCCTGGGGACCAGTGATAAGACAGGCATAACCAAAATAGGAGAAGAAAAAGGAGGATCACTGAGGACAATGAATCTTCTATATAAAACAAGGAACTATGTCATAGGAAAAATGGACTGAAAAAAAGTAGGAAAATTTAGGTTTCTGCTATGTGTCATAAATTCATGAACTTTGAACTAAAATACACAATTATCTAAATGAAGTAGATAAAAATAAAGATGAAGAATCATTTACAATGAATGAAGTTTTAACCAAATTCATTTTCTTTTAATAATGATGGTAGGAGACTTCTAAAATGGCAGAAGAAAGACCTTTGCAAATTCACCCTTCCATAAAAACAATAAAAACACGGGTGAAGTCATCAAATAAAATGTTTAGACCTCTGTACATTAACCAAAGTCATGTAACAATCTGAAAAGAGTTTATTCATGTAAAACTGCTGGCCTTCATTAAAAAACTGTAAGGTTTGTGATATTTTACCTTGATCTACCATTATCAGGTTCCCCCAAGCTCTGCAGTAGTCTTAACACCAGTCTCACAACCATAATAGTTATGAAAATGTCAGCCTGCAGTTTCTGGAGGCGCAGGTAGATCAGGTTTGAAACTCCACAAAAAGGTTCACCTGCAGAGCAATGTCACTGTTTGACTGATCTCACACTCTGGAAAAGTCCATTCACAGTGTTGTTATTTGATCTGACTCAGTACACCTGTTGGAAGGAAAGCCCTACCCCCCAAGGCAGTTGTCAAAAAGTATATATTCAGTGGTGATTAACATCACAGAAGATAAGAGCCTGGCCAGAAGCTTAAAAGGAAGATGAGAGAAATGGGATATCCGTGGAGGCTTTTGTAAGGTCTAACATAGTCCTGGGGATCTAGAAGGCTACACATATGTAGAAGACTATACACATACCCCAGAAAAGACCTTAGAGGGTCTCAGTCTCTCATGTCTGGCTGATCTCAAAACTCAACAAGCAGAAAATTTAGTCTAAGGCAGAGTTGTAAACTGACTGCCTGCACATTGAAAGCAACTTCAACACACATACAGAGTCTGACAGGTTGGGAGACTTCATTTTTTTCCAAAGTATTGAAAGAAATCTCCAACCAATCATTAGTTGACTAATAAGTTATCTGAACAGAGATTTCAGCACTTACATACCACAGAGAATAAATAATTTTATAGGACTGGTCCAAGAAAGTTAAAAAAAAAAAAAATGTCATACAGCAGCAGCAGCAGCAACAGCAACTACAAGAAAAATAACAACAGGGCCTCCCTGTTGGCGCAGGCGGTTGAGTGCAGCGCTGTGAAGTTGTCCAAAGCTTCTGCAGTGCCGATTCGATCCCCACGGCTGTGGAGATACCCACATGGCGAAGCAGACCTCTCCTGTCTCACCCGCTGCTCCCATCTGCAGTGTATTTCAGTCAGTCTGCCTGTTCTGTTCCCCACTCTGTCTTTGGTGACTCCTCTCACCCTCCTGCACATCTGCCTTGTACCCCGGTTCTTATATAAATAAATCTTTAAAAAAGGAAGAAAAATAACAACAAAAAAAACTTGTTTGCAATGGGGTGACGTAATTTCCAGAGTTTCCACATTATATTATTTAAAATATCTGCATGTTCAGAAAAAAATATGAAACACAGAGGAATAAGATAGTATCATTCATACAAAGAGAAAAAAGCAGTCAGTGGAAACTGTTCCAACATGCTCTCAGATTTTAGATTTCGTAGACAAAGTCTTTAAATCAACTTTTAAAAATATGTTCAAAGGAGTAAAGGTATGACAGTGACATCTCACTAAAGAGAATATCAATAAAGGGATAGAAATCATAAATAAACAAACAGAAATTCTGGTTATGAAGATAAAAGAAACAAATGAAAAATACACTAAAGGCCCAAAAGCAGATTTTAATTGGCAAAAGAAATAATCAGTGAACTTGAATGTCTATTAATTGTGATTATGCAGCATGCAGAATCAAAAGGAAAAAAGAAGAAAAAGTAACCAGAGCCTCAGAGGCCTGTCAAATACCATTAACAATTACAGATATGTATAATGGGAATGTCAGCATGGAAGAAAAAGAAGAAAGATTATTTGAAGAAACAGATTCTGTAAGTCTGATTTAAAAAAAAAAAACATTAATCTCTATATCCAAGAGGATGAAGAAACTCCAACTTAGATAAAGTCAAAGAAAGCCACACTTACACATATCACAGTCAAAACTGCAAAAAAAAAAAAAAAAAAGAATTTTGAAAGCAACAAAAGAAAAATTATCATCTATGGTGGATTAGTGGATCCCCATAAGACTAACAACTGGGAACACATACCCAAATGCTGAAAGAAAAAGAATCAACAGACTTCACCATCCAGCAAATTTTGCTTCAAAAATGAAGCAGAAATGAAGACTCAGCCCAAAAACAGAAACTGTGAGAATTTGTCCCTCAAATATCTGCCTTACAAAATACATGAAAGTAAAAAGCCTTTTGGCAGAACTGAAAAAGACACAAGAGTACTTGACTCCATATGAAGAAATAAAGAGAATCAGTGTCTCCCTGGTGGTGCAGTGGGTTGAGTGCAGTGCTGTGAAGCTGTCCACAGCCTCTGTAGCACAGGTTCAAGTCCCGGCCGGCCAGGGAGATTCCCACATGGCACGGCTGACCTCTCCTATCTCGCCCACTGCTCCCCTCAGCAGTGTTTTCGGTCCATCTGCCTGTTCTGCTCCCCTCTGACTCTGGTGAATCCTCTCACTCTCCTGTGCCTCTGGCAAATACCCCAGTTTTTGTACGAATAAATAAATCTTTAAAAAAAATACAAATAAAGAGCATCAGTAAAGATAACTGCAGAGGTAAATGTATGCAGTATAAATGTTCCTTTTTAAAATAAAAGGAATTCAGAGCCTCCCTGGTGGTGCTGCGGTTGAGCGCTGGGCTGCAAAGCTGTCTGCAGCCTCTGCAGCGCAGGTTCGATCCCCGGCCTCCAGCAAGGGTCCCACATGCCGTGCAGACCTCTCCTGCCATGCCTGCTGCTCCCCTCAGCAGCGTATTTCATCACACTGCCTGTTCTGCTCCCCGCTCTGGCTCTGGTGAATTCTCTCACCCTCCCGCGCTTCTGACTGTACCCAGTGCTTGTATAAATAAATAAATTTAAACCAAAAAAAAAGGAATTCAGATAAGATAGGACAATGCAATCTCTGTTTACAGATGACATGATCATGTACAGAAACCAGTTCTATCTCTACACACTAACAACTAACAATTCAAAAGTGAAATAGAACAATTCCATTTGAAAGAGTATAAACAGAATAAAATGTGTAGGTATAAATTTCAAAAAAGAAGTGTGATACTTGTAAACTGAAAATTACAAACACTG